AAGAAGAATCCAGGACCACCAACCAACTGACTGACACATGACCTTCCTGGGGAAGGGACTGCCATCTTGAACATGCCCCATGCAAAAGGAGCAACTGTGCCTGCACACAACACTGTGCTGATTCCAAACCAAGCTGCCATGTGCTGAGAGCAGCAAGCAAGATACTTGAGAAGGCACAGCCAGCTAAGCATACACACACACACACACACACACACACACCCCTAGACCCTGTTTGGGTTAACATTGGCCTCCTGTCAATCTCTATTGCAAGTGAGTCAAAAGCACTTCTTCCTAAGCAGCCACTGAAGAAAGCAGCCAGCCTCCCTTTCTCAGCCTCCTCCATGCCTGACGAAGGCGGATGGAGACTTAAAATCCCCACATCTCACCTGACCTGCCTCTCTGTTCTTGGCACGATCTCCAGGGGCAAGAAGACAGAGCTCCCCACTCTGCCCCCACTCCCACCCACCCCACCCCCCGTCCTTGCTGTTGTCTGTGTGAGAGGACACAGGATTCCTTCCACTTGGGGTGTCACCAAATGGTCAGCCTCAAGTGGGAGCTGCTCAAGGAAAGCTTTGTTTGTGGCAAGTAAAGAAGGCAATGGGAGCATATAACTCCCTCAAGAACTGCCCCCTTGAGAAGTCTTTTGCCAGAGCTTTGGCAGCGAGGTTTAGGGAGTATCCGGGTGTAGAGAAGGGGGAGCCACAGCAGCAGCACCCTTCCTGCTCCAGCAACATGTATCTTCATACATCCTGTGTTGGAAGCTTTGACTCAGACTGGATTCTTGCAGCCTCCTTGGTTGACTCCTGGTCTGGCACCTTCTAAGTACAATGTTGCAAGATAATTGCTTCCCAAAAACAAGCTCTGATGAGTAAACTGTTAGAGATTATCACCCCTGTTCTTGCGCCTGCCTCTTGCCTAAATGCTAAAAACTCTCGGTTGTATATGGATCTCATAAATTAAACTCTAAAGGCTAACCAGCAAACCTGACACTTGATATGTTAAAGGGGCATTGATGGCAATTCTTTCTCAAGACAGCAGTCTGGTTGAAAAGCCCCGTGATAATTTAGCTTCCAAATCCCATGACTATCCTCCTAGAAAATTTTTAAGAGACTATTCAAAACTATGTGTATATAAACATGCTCTCATACAAATATCTTTACACTACAGCTTTATTCACAATTGCCAAAAGCTAGAAACAACCGTGTGCCCGTATACTGGAGAAAGATGGACAACTTATATATTCATGCAGTGGACTACTACTTAGCAACAGAAAGGAACTAGTGACATACACCATAGGAGAAACCTCAAAAACATCATTCTGAGCAAAACAAATCACATATGAAGACTACACACACTGTGTGATTCTATTTATATGCTTTTATAACAGACAAAACTAATCTATGGTAAAAGCAATCAGAACAATGGTTTCCAGGGACAGGGATAATGTGGGAGCTGATGGGGAAGGGACACTAGAGATCTTGCTGGAATTATGGAAATATCCTACAACTTGATAGAGGTAAGGGTATATGCATTTGTCAAAACATCTTATGTAAAGCAGATCTCAATTAAAAACTTTAATACTAATTTGAATATCAGAAGCTAGCACTATAGGGGATTCATGAACAGAGACAAGACAGCAAGGCCTTATAACAGGGAGTGTGACAGGTGACTCAAAAGTTTAAATTGTCTGGGGCCAGTGCTGTGGCCCAGTGGGTTAATCCTCTATCTGAGGCGCCAGAATCCCACCCGTTCTAGTCCCAGCTGCTCCACTTCCGATCCAGCTCTCTTCTGTGGCCTGGGAAAGCAGTAGAAGATGGCCCAAGCACTAGGGCTCCTGCACCTGCGTGGGAGACCTGGAAGAAGCACTTGGCTCCTGGCTTCAGATTGGCCCAGTTCTGGCTGTTGCAGCCATATGAGGAGTGAACCAGCGGATGGAAGACCTTTCTTTCTGTCTCTCCCTCTCAATGTCTATAACTCTACCTGTCAAATAAATAAATAAAATACTTAAAAAATGTTTAAATTGTCTACAAGGTATAGAACACCTGAGTGGTTATAGGCTATAGGTTATTTTGCTTGGTTGTTTTAAAAGCAGGGCCTGTTCTTCATAAGAATAAATGTTGATTTGTAACTGGCCTGTTTCTGACTTCTGTATCTCTGCTTGATAATGGCCAAGGCCACCAGACTATGGTTTCTCCTGCACTCTCCCAGCTGCAGCCACAAGATAACATAGGTGGCGTCAAGGTCAGTGATTAAATGACTGATAAGAAAAGTAGGTTTTGCCTTTAAAAACCCCACCACCACTGCAACTGGGGCTGTCTCCTTCAGACTTGCTCTGTGAGAAAGGCAGTTGCCAGCTGGCTAGTAAAGACTCCTAATTTGATCTCAAAGTCTCGCTGTGGTTTTAATTTGTGTGTCCTACAACAGAAGTAGCTGTTTATTTTTTTAAAGGTTTTATTTATTTGAGAAGTAGAGTTACAGTCAGAGAGAGACAGAGAGAAAGGTCTTGCTTCCATTGGATCACTCCCTAAATAGCTGCAACGGCCAGAGCTATACCAATCTGAAGCCAGGAGCCAGGTGCTTTTTCCTGGTCTCCCATGCAGGTGCAGGGTCCAAGGACTTGGGCCATCTTCTGCTGCTTTCCCAAGGCCATAGCAGAGAGCTGGATCAGAAGTGGAGCAGCCAGGACTAGAAGCGGTACCCATATGGGATGCCAGCACCACAGGCAGAGGATTAACCTACTGTGCCATAGTGCTGGCTCAAAATAGTCCTATTTTTTACTTAGGATTTCCTTTATACTTTTTACTGAGAGATTTTCTGCCTTCACCTTTCATAGTGATGACCATGTTTCTGTGTTTCTGTGTGTAGCACATCTTTAAGCATTTTTTTATTAGACAGGTAGAGTTATAGACAGTGACAGAGAGAGAGACAAAGAGAAAAGTCTTCCTTCTGTTGGTTCACTTTCCAAACGGCGGCTATGGCCGGCGCTGCACTGATCTGAAGCCAGGAGCCAGGTGCTTCCTCCTGGTCTCCCATGCAGATACAGGGGCCCAAGCACTTGGGCCATTCTCCACTGCCTTCCTAGGCCATAGCAGAGAGCTAGACTGGAAGAAGAGCAACCGGGACTAGAACCCTGTGCCCATATGTGATGCCAGCGCCACAGGTGGAGGATTAGTCAAGTGAGTCACAGCGCCGGCCCCTCTTTAAGCATCTTTTGTAAGGCTGTGTGAGTGGTAACAAATTCTTTCAATTTCTGTTTGTTATGGCAGGTCTTTATTTCACCTTCATTCTTAAATGAGAGCTTTGCAGGGTACAGAAACCTTGGTTGACAGTTCTTTTCTCTCAAGACTTAGAGAATATATCTCGCCATTCTCTCCTAGCCCATAGGGCTTCTGATGAAAAGTCATCTGTGAGTCTGAGATGCCCTGAAAGTTTTCTGGTGTTTCTCTTGTGCATATTTTAGTATCTTTTCTTTAAAAAAAAGATTTATTTATTTATTTGAAAGTCAGAGTTACGCAGAGAGAGGAGAGGCAGAGAGAGAGAGAGAGGTCTTCCATCCAATGGTTCACTCCCCAATTGGCCGCAGTGGCCTGAGCTGTGCCAATCTGAAGCCAGGAGCCAGGAGCTTCTTCCAGGTCTGCTACACAGGTGAAGGGGTCCAAGAACTTGGGCCATCTTCCACTGCTTTCCCAGGCCACAGAAGAGAGCTGGATTGGAAGTGGAGCAGCCGGGTCTTGAACTGGCACCCATATCAGATGCTGGCGCTTCAGGCCAGGGTGGTAACCCACTGCGCCACAGCGCTGGTCCCTAAAATCTCAATTTCATGTGAAATTTTCCTTCATTTCATGTATGGGTTTCTTTAATTCATGGATTTGCTTCTGATTACTTCTAAGTAATCCTACAATCCATTTTTTGAATTCCATTTCTGACATTTCTTCAATTTCTTCATATTCACATTCTAGTAGTGAAGTGTTGTTGTGTTCCTTTTGGGGTGTCATGTTGTCTTTCTTATTCTTGTTTCTTGAATTTCTGTGGCATTTGTGGAGATACTTGTTGTTGTCTCACAATCCTCATGATGGCTTTTGAGCCTCTGTGGCTTAGTGGAGTGTCTTTCTTTCAGCGAATCCCCTGAGGCATGTGCTGGGTTTGGCCAGGGAGCTCTGTTTAGTGCTCCAGGGTGAGGGCAGGGTCCAAGGTGACACCCAAGTTGGGCATGGTAAATCTTTTTTTTCTTCAGAGGGGAGGGTTTGATAAGCTCTGCGGGCAGAGTCTCACACCCACCTCTCCTCCTCCAATACCTGGGCACCAGCCCCAGTGGGTGCAATATTCATCCACATTGCCACAAGAACCACACAAGGATCCATACAGTCCTCAATATTAGCCTAGACCTTGCAGCAGTGACTCTCACCAGGCAATCAGGAAGCCCTGAGCATGTGGAGCCACTCACAGTGACTGCTCTGAGATCCAGCCACACCCTCTGGCCTCCTGTGCAGCCACAGTGCTTTCACAGTCTGTCCCAGCACACAAGGCTCCCACAGTCACAAGCACCCAGCCCCCTGGCAAATCTCCTGGCTAGACTCAGGCATCTCCTCTTAGCTGGGTGCTGGGCACGTGGGCACAAGCTGGTGTAGCTGGTACATATGTCCAAAAATGGTGCCTGCCCTCTGTCAGCCAGTTACAGGATGCCCATGCTGGATGGCTGGGGAGAGAGAAGTGCGCCTCTCTGGTTTTTTTCCTCTTTTTTGGCAGGTACACTGTCCCCCACTGGGCTCCAAGCCAGACTCATGCTAGGCCCTTCCCACAGCTTTATTGCCAGTGGTTTGGGCTGCTGCAGTCTGGTCTCACTTCATTCTCCAAAGCTGGTGCTGAGGCTCTCGGCTGCGGGGGTCCTGAGTTGTGTGTGTCCACACCCTCCATGTAGATCTGCAGTTTTCCTTTAATTAGTGTGGAGCTTCCCCTGTGGGTTTCTCCTTAACTCTTTCCCGAGATTGCACTCTCTGCACTTTTTTTTTTTTTTTTTTTTTACTATCTTCCCCTAGACTACAGCAGTAAGCTCCTCCCTATTCCACCATCTTGGAATCTCTCTGAGCGCCTCTTCTACAACCGAAGTTTCCAGGTTGCAGTGGTGTCTTAGGCCATTTTGTGCTGCTATAACAAATTAACTGGGACTGAGTAATTTATAGTGCGCAAGCGTTTATTTGGTTTGTGGTTTTTAGAGGCTGAGAAGTAGCACAAGCATGGTGCCAGCGTCTGCTGAGGGATCCTGTGCTGCTTCATCCTGTGGCAGAAGGCAGAAGGACACAAAAGGGCTTGAGTGAGAGAGTGAGTGAGGGTCAAAGTCGCTTTTACCGAACCCACTCTCAAGATGACTAGCCCACTTCTGCACAGGACTGTGGAAACTCTCACAACTCAATCATTTTATGAGGCCCCCTTGAATACTGTTGCATATGTGTCCAACATATGAATCTTGGGGGACACATTCAACCCCAAAATCTTGTGAATTATAGGAGTTATGGACCTCAAAAATTCATTTCTCCCTGTATTTTAGGAATGTATCTGAAAAGATGGAATTTAAAGTATGTAAGCCTAGGTCCCAGTGTTTGTTTTATTATTATTATTATTATTATTATTATTATTTTGGTCAGAATGAATATGGCTGCTTACCTTAGAACAGAGCTTCTTATCCCCATTTTGACCACTTAGTCTTTTTTTTTTTTTTTTTTTGGACAGGCAGGCAGAGTTAGACAGTGAGAGAGAGACAGAGAGAGAAAGATCTTCCTTATCTTCCTTCCATTGGTTCACCCCGCAAATGGCCGCTACAGCCAGCGCGCTGAGCCAATCCGAAGCCAGGAGCCAGGTGCTCCTCCTGGTCTCCCATGTGGGTGCAGGGCCCTAGCACTTGGGCCTTCCTCCACTGCCTTCCCGGGCCACAGCAGAGAGCTGGACTGGAAGAGGAGCAACAGAGACAGAATCTGGTGCCCCAACTGGGACTAGAACCCAGGGTGCTGGCGCTGCAGGCAGAGGATCAGCCAAGTGAGCTGCAGTGCAGGCCAACCACTTAGTCCTTTATTATACAAATGGAGCATTGAAGCATCTATAGCCCCAAGGAAAGTAGGTAACAGGACCTTTAATCAACTATGAAAATCTACCTGTTAAGTCAGCTTTTCATCACTATAACCAGAATACATGAGAGAAGCTGGTTATGAAGGAAGGAGGTTTACCTTGGAGTTGCCTAGTCCAAGTTCTGGTGGCCCTAGCGGTCTGCTGTTTCTAATGAGGCCAGTAGATGAAGGAACATGTGTGGAACAAGGACCACAGGAAGGCCAGGAAGCACAGAGACCAGGCCAAACTCAATTTTTGTAACCAACTTTCCCATGAGAACTACTTTGCAAAGGTATGCCCTCAATGACCTAAGGATCTCTCACTAGGCTCACCTCCCAGCTACCATAGCTGCATCAAATCTGTACCCTTAATCCACCAACCATTGACATTAATCTGTTATCCATTAACATAACACTCTGGGGACCAAGCCTTCAGCACACATGAGCCTTTGGAGATATTCAAACTAATGTCCAAATCATAATGGTATCCTTCTAATATCTTTTATTTATTTACTTTTTAAAAAAGAGTTATTTATTTATTTGAAAATCAGAGTTACAGAGAGGCAGAGGCAGAGCAGAGAGGTCTTCTATCCACTGGTCCACTCCCCTATGGCCACAATGGCAGGAGCTGTGCCAATCTGAAGCTGGGAGCTAGGAGCTTCTTCCGGGTGTCCCATGCAGGTGTAGGGGCTCAAGCACTTGGGCCATCTTCCACTGCTTTCCTAGGCCATAGCAGAGAGCTGGATTGGCAGCAGAGCAGCCAGGACTCAAACCGGCGCCCATACGGGATGTTGGCACTGCAGGTAGTGGCTTTACCCACTATGCCACAGTGCCGACCCCCTAATATCTTTTAAATTGCATTGTTTCTAAGGTGACCACAAGTAAGTTTCCAAAGGAGCTTTCTAAGCAAAGAACTGACAGCAAGAGCCCTCCTGCTCTTTTGAGGTTGAGTGTGTGTAGAACTTGTCCAGTATATTAAAATGATCTCAATGAGGTATGCCGATGGAAGAAGATATTACAAGTTTCAACACAGCATAAAGGAACAAGGAATCTGTTCTGGAGGTCCAGGCCTCAAGCCATGTCTGAATATTTGTGGGAATGGTTAGATCTAGTACAGCAGAGAAATATGCCTAGTCTAATAAACATGTTTTAGTCAGTATCCAGCCAAGAAAATAGAAACTTCTCTTTGTATTCCAACAGAAGATTTAATACAGGAAATTGACTCTAAAAGTTTTAGAAGAGCAAAAGTGTGATTATACACAGAGCAGGTATTATAGGAAGTCCTACTCACCAATGATTTCTGTTGCAAAAAGTATTTTCCAGATCCCATGAGCACACACTTGCTGCTACAATTGTGGTTAGAGCCACCACTGCTACCTGGGAGGTGGCACTCCTGCTAATGTTGAGGAGCCTGGAACCTCTGGCTGTGACTATGGAGGAATGGTCAGAGATGCAATGCTGCTTGCTTTGGAGATGAAGGGAGAGGACCATCAGCCCATGGAGCACACACAACCCCTAGAAGCTGAGAAAGATGAAACGGATTATCCTACTACTATCAACAATGGTACTGAATTTACCTTGGGGCAAATTTAGCAAAAGATGCACAATACAATTGCCCAAGAAAATGTAAAATATTGCTGACAGAATTAAAGAATATCTAGATAAGTCAGGAGATATACAATGTTCACAGATTGGAAGATTCAATATTATTAAAATATCAATTCTTCCCAAACTGACCTAAAGATTTAATGCAATCCAGATCAATAGCACAGGCTTTTTTTTTCTAAAATGGACAAGATTATTTTTAATACTGTAAGGAAACTGGGCTAAGATATCTAAAGTCAACTTGAAAAGAACAACAAATGTGGAGGACGTACCCCAACTGATTTCAAGACTTACTCCAACTCTGCTCTAACATTGGTAATGTCATCCTGTGGAAAGATGGGGACACAGATGAATAGAATTGTACAGAAAACAAAAAATAAACTCATAAACACAGCCACATAGATTTTTAAGATTTATTTTATTTACTTGAAAGAGTTACAGAGAGAGGTAGAGACAGAGAGAGAGATCTTCCATCTGCTGGTTCACTCCCCAGGTGGCCACAACAGTTGGAGCTGCACCGATCTGAAGGTAGGAGCCAGGAGCTTCCTCCAGGTCTCCCACGTGGGTGCAGGGGCCCAAGGACTTGGGCCATCCTCTACTCTGCTTTCCCAGGCCATTGCAGAGAGCTGGATTTGAAGAAGAGCAGCTGGGACTAGAACCAGCGCCCGTATGGGATGCCGGCGCTTCAGGCCAGGGTTTTAACACACTGCGCCATAGCACCGACCCCAGCCACGTAGTTTTTAACAAGGATCCTAAAAGGAAAGGGAAATATTTTAATATTTCATGAGGCTGGCACTAGATAACCATTTGGGGCCGGCACCGCAGCTCAATAGGCTAATCCTCTGCCTGTGGCGCCGGCACACCGGGTTCTAGTCCTGGTTGAGGCGCCAGATTCTGTCCCGGTTGCCCCTCTTCCAGTCCAGATCTCTGCTGTGGCCTGGGAAGGCAGTGGAGGATGGCCTAATTCCTTGGGCCCTGCACCCGCATGGGAGACCAGTATAAGCACCTGGCTCCTGGCTTCGGATCAGTGCAGTACGCCGGCCGCAGCGGCCGTCGGGGGTTGAACCAATGGAAAAGGAAGACCTTTCTCTCTGTCTCTCTCTCTCTCACTGTCCACTCTGCCTGTCAAAAAAAAAAAAATCATATGGAAATGAAAGAACCTCTACCTTACTTCATATAATACAAAGATACACAAAATGAGAGATGCAATATATAGCTTCGAGAAGAAAGCATAGGCAACTATCTTTGCAACTCAAAGAATGCATAAACTATGAATCATGAAAGAAAATATTGATAAATATGACTTCATTAAGGTTAAAAACTCCTACTCATCAAAAATTTAAATAGTCAAGGCAGAGACTGGAAGAAAATATTTGCCACGGATGTATGTGGCAAAGGACTTGTATCCAAAATTTATAAAGAAAAAACAAGCCGACTTTTTTAGTTAAAAAAAAAAAAACACCTTGGCTAGACAAATGGAATTGATGATGAACATGAAAATGTGCTCAGCATCAGAGAAAGGCAAAGTAAAAACACAGTAAGGTACCACTGCGCTAAACAAATTTTGGAAAGACTATGAATCAAACAGAACTCTTATACAGGACTGTAGGAATTCATGTAGTTCTTCTAGGACTCAGTTGGTTCTTGTGAGAGTGAGTCGTTATAAAATGAAGGCACTACACGTGCTTGCATACAGCCATTTCCCTTTCTGCTTCTCTGTCGTGTTGTGACACAGCCAAGGAGGCCTTTGGCAGACGTCAGCACCATGCCATCTGGACTTTCTAGCACCAGGATTGTGAAACAAATGCACTTCTTTTTTTTATTTTTTACTTTATTTATTTATTTATTTATTTATTTTGACAGGCAGAGTGGACAGTGAGAGAGAGAGACAGAGAGAAAGGTCTTCCTTTGCCGTTGGTTCACCCTCCAGTGGCCGCCGCGGCCGGGGCACCGCGCTGATCTGATGGCAGGAGCCAGGATCCAGGTGCTTTTCCTGGTCTCCCATGGGGTGCAGGGCCCAAGCACTTGGGCCATCCTCCACTGCACTCCTGGGCCACAGCAGAGAGCTGGCCCGTAAGAGGGCAACCGGGACAGAATCCGGCGCCCCGACCGGGACTAGAACCTGGTGTGCCGGCGCCGCAAGGCGGAGGATTAGCCTAGTGAGCCGCGGCGCCGGCCAAATACACTTCTTTTCTTTATAAAGTATCCACACTTGAATATTTTGTTAGCACAACACAAAACAGACTAAGACACTCCTTTATATTTAAGATGTTCCAAGGGAGACAGTCCAGGCTGGTTTGACAACAGAGAGTAATCATCTTTCCATCTTGTTTCCACTCTATGGGTGCCTTCTGCAACTATTCATGGGGGTAGGCATTTAGCCTAGAGGTTAGTGCAGGGGTTAAGACACTCATGTCTCGTAGTGGAGTTCCTGAGTTTGATAGCTGGCTCCAGCTCCTGGCTCCAACTTCTTGCTAATGCAGACCCTGGGAGGCAGCAGTGATGACTCAGAGAGTTTGGGTTCCTGTCACCCTTTTGGGAGCCCTGGATTGAGTTTCTGGCTTCTGGCTTTGGATCAGCCCAGGATCTTTTTTTTTTTTTTTTTTTTTTAAAGATTTACTTTATTTATTTGAAAGACAGAGTTACAGAGAGAGGTAGAGACAGAGAGAGATCTTCCATCTGCTGGATCGCTCCCTAGATGGCCGCAATGCCAGAGCTGAGCCGATCCAAAGCCAGGAACCAGGAGCTTCCTCTGGGGCTCCCACATAGGTGAAGGGGCCCAAGGACTTGGGCCATCTTCTACTGCTTTCCCAGGCCATAGCAGAGAGCTGGATTGGAAGTGGAGCAGCCGGAACTAGAACAAGCACCCATATGGGATGCTGGCGCTTCAGGCCAGGGCTTTAACCCGCTGTGCCATAGCACTGGCCCTCTGAGGACCATTTTGAAATAGCCAATGCATCCTGTGAGTCCTCTCTGTAGAAAAGTTCAGGTATGCAAAAACTTTCTGTAAAGTGTTTTGGTAGGTCATGGACCACCTACTGTGATTCGGCATAGAGCCAAGATTTTAAAATTCATGAACCAAATTCATTCAAGTCAATTAAATATTTCTGAATTCTAATGTAGTAAGACAATAGAAACAGTTCTAATAGCTGTCTGGATTAAAAATAGAGTATATTAGATAGTGAAAATCTATTGATTGGCAGACTAGTATGGCTGCATGGGTGCTTTAATTTTCTCTTCTAAAACAATATAATTGTCCCTCAGTATACATGAGAGATCGGTTCCAGGACTCTGTGAGGTCCAAAATCCGGGGAAATCAAGTTCCTTTTGTAAAGTGATATAGCAATGCTAGTAATCTATGCACATCCTCCAAAATACCTTAAGTCACCTTTGGATTACTTAATGACAGCTCATACAATGTGAATGTTACATAAACAGATATTATACTCATACTGTGTTGTTTAGGGAATGACAAGAAAGGAAGTGTGTATATGTTTAGTACAGGCACAGTATTTTTTTTCTGAATATTTTCAATATGCAGTTGATTGAATCCATGGATTCAGAACTCACAGGTACAGAGGGCAAACTGTAATCACTATTTATAAACTGGGATATTTCAAGCAAGGATCTTTATTTCCCAGAGCTCTTTAAAAATGAAAACTCTGGGCACATATTTGACCTAGTGATTGAGACATCAGCTAGAACACCATGTCCCATATGAGAGTGCCTGAGTTTAATACCCAGCACTGGTTTCTGATTCCTGTTTCCTGTTGATTCAGATCACAGAAGGCAGCAGATGATGGCACAAGTACTTGAGTCCCTATCATCCATGTAGAAGACTGGGGTTGAGTTCCTGGCTCCTGACTTTGTCAGGACCCAGCTCCAGCTGTTGTAGGCATCTGGGGAGTACACTAGCAGATGGGATGCCCCTTTGCCACCCAAATAATAAAAAAGAAAGAAAAACTCTAGTAGTACTGAGCCCCATTGCTCCCACATTTTCTATAGGTTCTTGAAGCCCATGTCCTCTTAGCTCATGTCCACTGACCTGTAGGTCAGCCCAAAAGGCATTTAGGTTCATGATTCCTGAATATGTATTGAGTTTACGTTTTAAAACACTATGGCTCTGTTACTTCATTCTTTAGTTTTATCTTGAAATTATTTTGAGATGAATCAAAAAACAACATTGAAAGCAGGAGATTCTTTAAATATTTTTCTCCTCTCCGAAGTTCTCCTTACCAGGAAAAAAAAAATAAGGAACATAGAGGAAGGAGTTAATGTTGGGAGAGAAAAGATAATCTTTTGTGAGATGAAAGAAGAACTCCATGGATGGCAGGCCACGCTGCACTGTTTTGTAGATAAGAGAAGCAGGGCAGGCTCACGGTGGAATTGCAAAGTAGGAAAGTATGAGAGACAACTTCGACATGGGGCAGTTTGCTTTATGTTATCTGGGTTGGGTGTAACTTTGTTGCAGAAGTCATACCAAGAGGCCTAGAACATTGTTTCAGCTATTGTAACTCTCCTTCAGGGTGGAGTTTCTGTGTTCTGCTCATGGGGCCTCTTATCCATCTTCTCCATATGCTGGCATCCTGCCACAACAAATGGCTCTGGCTTAGTATCAAAGAAAATATTTCTCTCAACACTTTCTCAATCTCTAACTTAACTTTTTTAGTTGACAACTTTCCCTGCAATCATTTTAGTTAGTTTTCAGAGGACAATATATTATCTATTGTGTATTTTGTATCTAGCATTTATTGAGAGTTTATCACATTAAGCACTATTCAAAATTCTTTTATTAACTTATTTAATCCTAACAATCACCTTATTACTTCCAACCCTCTGAGCTCCTTTATTTACTCACTCCACCACAATGCTGGCTCCAACAACGTGTTTTTTTCCCCAAATATTTTTTGATCTGTAGTTGATTGAATCCACAACACACAGCCATGGAAATGGGAGGCTGCCTGTATATAAACAAATTCATATATTTGAAAACCTTTCTACCTCCTAATTTTTACCCGAAATAGTTCATCCTCAAAGGCAGATATTCACAGGGCTCCTGTATGAGGGACACAGACTATTATAGAAATAGCAAGTGACAAAGAAACAGCTCTGACAGGTGAGAGGTGAATATCATTCAGCTGTTCTTGCAGACATGGAAGACTGAGAGCATTGTGTCACGCTGATGTTTTATCCA